CCCCCGCCGCGAAGAAGCTGCGCCCCGCGCCCCCTGCCGCCGCCGCCGCCATGCCGGCCTCCTCCTCCTCCCTCCTCCTCCTCCGCAGCGCGCCTGCGCGGCCCGGAGACTCCCAGGCGGAGACGCGGCAGAGCCACGCCCAGTCAGAGGGGCGGGGAGGAGCCTCCGGCCGGGGTCACCTGGAAGAAGTCCAGCCCCCTGCGCGCACGCGCGCACACGCGCACGCGCACCCACCCAGCGGCGCCCCCTCCAAGCCTCCACTTTAGGGCCTCGCAATCTGCTGGAGCCTCATTTGTCATTTTAAAACCCTTATAACGATGTGATTATTCCTGTGATTCTGTAAACACATCTTTTATTATTTTTTTAATAAAAATCGAAAGACATTATATTTTCAAATATTTAAAAGGCGTATATATTTTAAATTTTTCAGAGACCAGCTGATGTAATTTAAAACAGTAGGGGGCCTCTGGGTTTTGTAGAGCTTAGGGCCTCAGCAAGTCTAAATCCGGCCCTGCCTACGGCTCACACATTCTTGTAGGAAGAAGAAGAGAAGAGATTGGACTTATCCCCCATGGCCCTTCACTCCCCAAAGGTGTCTCAGAGCGGCTGACAGACTCCTCTCCCTTCCTCTCCCCACCACAGACAGACACCCTGGGAGGTGGGTGGGGCTTTCCAAGGACAGCTGTGCCAGAGCTTGTGACTGACCCAAGGTCACACCAGCAGGTGCAAGTGGAGGAGTGGGGAATCAAACCTGGTTCTCCCAGATTAGAGTCCGCGCAATTAACCACCACACCAGACTGGCTCTGACAAGAGCTGTTCTTGAAAAAAGGAGAGGTGGCTCCCGAGCAAACTGATGGATGCAGCAGCCAAATGGCTCGCTCACCACTTCAATGCCGAAGGAGATGTTTTGCTCACAAGACTCCACAGCTTAGAGCAATGATGGTGAACCTCTTAGAGACCGCATGCCCAAACGGCGACCCAAGACCCACTTATTGATTGCAAAGTGCCAACAGGGCCATTTAACCTGGATACTGAGGTTACTTT